CTTGCCCGCCCAGCCTACTGCAAAGTGTGAAATCCACCAATCTGACACTGCTCGATTAAGTGAGCCCGGTATTCCTATGTTGGCTTCTGGATAAATTGTTTAGGGAATCCCACTGGGGCGTCAGCTTACTGGATCGGAATTGGTGTATTCTATACGTTGCAATTGGCTGGGCGGGTAAATGTAATTAAACCCAGAGCTTTTAGTGGGCCTCGTAGCTTACGTGGTTAGGGCGTTAGTTATAGTCAAGACTGGCCCTTGCTGCCGTATGCTTGAGTCCCACCGTCGACTTTTTTTCAGAAATGAATCAAATAAATTTGAAATATACGGCAAACACAAATTAATAAGAGATTCGTTGTTATTTTAGGTAAATTTAACCCGCAAGGTCATTTGTGTTTTTACCTGCTTGCAAGCGTGGCCCACATCCATTTATAAAAATGTATGAGTACTGTCTGACATCTTCCTCAACGCTAGAAAAGTACCTGATTTAGAAAAGCCTGCATGTAAGCCTAACGGCAAGTCGGTTTCAAAATTATTCGGGAATTTAAAAAAGGTCTCTCCGAAACCGAAATTTACCGTCGTCAGGGGCAGGCCTAACGACCCGTTATCACACTGTTCTGATTACTCGTCCCACTGTGCACTATCGATTCGTACAAGCCGCGCGAGTGATTAGATCGATCAAGCCGCCAGTCGTGATTAGTGTTCTGCCCTATCACGCCGTTCAGCCCGAAAGCCACCCGGCATATTATCCCTCGCTTTAGGCCATAACCTAATTGGCCCAATCTGTACGCCCTGCTTACCATAAGCACGCTGTATTAGGCATGCGAAAAGACTTCTACATTTGCGCCACTCTTGTTGTGCTCTTTCTTGGGGGACTCACATAAGGCTAATTAGACGGTGACATCGCGGCTTTTGGCTAACAACTGTTCCGTTAACATAACATTCGATGAAGTCGTAGTTTGCTACATTTTTTGTGCATGATTTCTCTAAAATATATTTGAATCTGGAAAGGCCTCCAAAATCAAAGGAAAAAATATCGTTCTACGGTAGTTGCCTTTCTATCGAGTTTGGTTCATAGAAGCAGCCGGAAAGAAACTGATTTGAATGTCTGCATTCTGATCTGACTGAAAGATCGGGGAAGGCAAATTTCAGAATTTCGGTCAACGGTTGTACGAGATAGCAAATCTACGGTAGTTATTCAGGTCATTTTGTTAATTTCCACGATATTTAATGTTCCGAAGAGATATGCAGCTTTGGTTTTTACTTTCCGTCTCTCCATAGATGACCTTCTCCACCTCTCCGTCCACCAAGTCAACCCACTACGCACAAACAATCTTATTTTTGGAGCGTCCCTTATCGGTCTCTAGCGGTAAGTTGTTAACTGTTTAGCCTGATTTTTCTTTCATTTGACCCAGTTTTGAAAAACGGCCGGCAGCCTCGGTGGTATTCGAAGCCACAGCAGCAAAGTAAAGGCTTCACTGCAACTAACATTTGAACTACCTGATCTACGAGGCCCACACCGAGATCCCCGAGTTTTTTACAGTTTGATCAAATTTGCCTAAACCTCTTACTATTTTGTTTTTGTCTTCGTTTAGTCTAACTGATGTGTACTTTTCCCCCTTGCCCTCCGTAGGGGATCGCATAAGCGGCACACTCTTCTTGGACGGACACCAGGCTGGCAACTGTGACGATCTGTCCATCTGGATAACTCTGCGGCACCCCAAGCTTCCGGAACCTTTAGACTATCATTATCGCCTGAACCTGTGATCAGGGCGACTGTCGCCGTCACTGTGGCTCTTGTGTATATATATGCTCGCATTTCGCGGATCAACCAATACAATCTCAAGGGGTTACTGTGGCGTCTCTTGACCCTTTCCGTCTTTTTTGTTTGTATTGGTGAATTCTGAATGTCCATTTGCTGTGCTGGTGGTTGTGGTGTTCTACCTTTGCTGTTTTTTTTTGTGTGACTTTCTGTTTGATTTAGTTTCACTGCACCCTATCTGACTAGTACTAGTCGTCTTCACGAGTTCAATCAGTTTCGTTTCTAAAACCCGCTGTCGACCGTAGACCTCCTTGCACAGAGTATTCGTATCGGCGCCATTTAGCCCTCTGGCGCCGACAATGCCAACTTTTCATATGCTGCTTTCATCGGACGGGGGCGAGTCAAACCCTGCACAAAAATCTGTGTGTTCGTTGGCCTCCATTCAAATATCAGTATTTGTCATGCTTCCTTACTAGCAGCCGGCATCGTTGTTCTCTTCGAGCTGTGTGATCTACAGTGTCATTAAGCTTGTCTGTTCGATCGTGGTCAGCGACGCAGTTTCGCAATTCGGTGGACGCGGGCTGGCGACTTGCACTTAAATTGGCAGACTTGCGCTGTATCTGCCGCACTCTCTTCTCCTCACTCATATGAGCCCGGTGGCAAGACAGCGTTGGCGTATGCACGGTGGCTAACACAGGCAAACAGCTCCTCTACCCGTGCAACACACGCGCCGGGTCCGCACACAGTGGACTGGGTTTTCAGATACCAACTGAGTGGGAGTTAAGAGGAAGCCATTGCCTGCGAGATTATCCTGCCAGTTTGCAACCTTCGAAGTCGCGCTCCTTAAGCGTGTCGTGCTAGGGACAATCATGCTGCAAACGCCCACTATCGCCCCACCCCCAATCCGCTTTCAGCGCCTGCAGAGCGTATACTTTGACCATCTCGTTTGGTTTTAAACTGGAGCCGAACTGTAGACTTCTGCCGTGATGGGAAACATATGACTGTACAGACGCACGAACCTTTCAATCGGCATTTCTGGCGCACTCTATGATTACACAACCTTACCTGAGGTTATAGTCGCATTAACAATATAGACCGGCGTTTCCTTCCTGCTTTTGCGACTATCCTGGATGGTATAGCGGAGACGCTGATTATTGGATCGCATCTCATCAAAAGTCAGGGCTTCCGTCGAAGAAAAAAAGTGTTTTTCCTCACCAGATTAAGCGGACCACTCTCGTGATTAACTGACTTATAAGGACGCGTCTATGGCTGAAAAAATAGTCATGTTTGATACTGCGCTGATAATTATTACTGGTGAAGACTGCAGACAGTTATAACTGATTGCTGATAGAAGATAACAAACACGTTTAAAAAATAGTTTCAATGAAAATGCGACTGCATTGGAATGTTCGCTCGTGGCTTCGTTTTCGGTAGTCAACCAAATATTCACCGTTCGTCGGTCGCGAAGGTCCCGGGGCTCGAAACCAGCTTTCTTGAACATTCAGCTTTACGTCAGCTCTTGGGACTTTAAACTATGGTCCTTCCCGTCCGTGTGTACGGCAGCTGAGAATATTTGCTAGTTGCGTTTCTCCTTCCTTACCGAAATTCTGGAATGTGTTTTCGATTCGATACAGAAGGGTTCTAATAGTAATTATCGTGCAGCGCAATCCCAAGGTGCTTGTGTCAGGTTAGGACGCCGGCTTTCAAACAATCTGCTTTTCAGCCGCCTGCAAAATCTATCATCTGTTAAAAGGGACTACTCAAGTAGTATGCATTTTGTGATTGATTTTATATGCCCATATAAGTTCAAACATATTTTAATAGGAATCGTGCACAATAGGTGTTCTTCCTTGTGCTCATATGGTAGCCAGTTAAGCCTCCTTCAAACCGTACACATGGAAGAAAGCGTATCTTTCGATTAGCAGAAAAAATTCCTAACCTGCTGAATTATTTAGATCCCTATTGGCCGTCACACTCGTTGTAAGTGTAGCCAAAGTCGCCATGTCACCGCCTAATTACGCGCTGATTGAGCCCCCAAGGAAGGACGCAGTAAGAAAGGTCTCAAAGCAGTAGTCTTTTAGCACACCTTACACAGAGTACTTATGGCAAGCAGGGCGTACATTTTGAGCCAATCAGACTGTAGCCTCAAGAGAGGGATAATATGCCGAGTGGCTTTCGGGCTGAACAGAGTGATACGGCAGAACACCAATCACGGCCGGCGGCTTAATCGATCTCATCACTCGTGCGGCTTGTATCGATCGATATTGCACCATGGGACGAGTTATCAGGACAGCGTGATAATGGGTCCTTAGGCCTGTCCCCTAACAAGACTTGCGTTCAGGCTCTCCAAATGACTACACTCCTAAAGAGAATCAGCCATTTCTCTACGCTGTAAGACAGAGGCCACATAGTTTTCATAAATGTTTACATTATATGTGGTCCATGTTGGATGGGCAGCATGAATAGATGGACAGATGTGGTGCTTTATGACTGAATATTTCATGTTTTAAAGCATTTCATAATTATAAACGTAGTTAAAACCGAAAGATGGCCCTTCTTCAAGTATAATATTTGAAGAAGACGCAATTTGCCATCAAATGGGAACAAGAAAGAAAACTTTGTGCATGAATTCTACCAAACATAATTCATTTTATGAGTATCACAAATAAATAGCTATATTCCTACTACTCAACTAGTTAGTGTTACACAACGTAGTTTTTGCAGGCGGCCTGAAATAAGCTCGTTATAAAGCCGGTATCCTGAGGTGAATAGAGTTCTTAGGGATTGTGTTGCAAGATAGTTAATATTACAGCTCTGCTTAGACAATTTTGTCAAATCTAAAAAACACGCATTTCAAGGTCTGAAAATGTACAAATATCGCCGGAACAAACCCACCATGTGGAATTCTGATTGTAGCAAATCCGAGAGTTTTTCAGCTGAAGGGGTAGGTCGGTTCCCCCAAGGGTTGGGCTGCAAGCAGTCCTCCTGAATGTGGTCTTTATGGCCTTCTCGTTTGTGTGCGATCTGAGCTACCCTAACTGCGGCGTGGCATTCATGGAATATGGACCAGGTCGTGTCTAGTACACGTAGACGGACTGTTACATCTTACCGGTCACTGCGCCCAAGTCATCTTCAGTCGGTGTGTCAACGGTACACGTAGATAGACTGTTTAACTCTAACAACCACTGCCCACGCGAGCCCATCTTCAGTCGTTTGGATTGCGTATCGCTCCCGGAGCAAGATGGATGAGGGAGATGTCAATGCGCTGGAGGCTGTGACCGTCCGTCTCACGCTCAAGTCCCCGTGCTGCTGGGGCACGCGGTTTACGCTGCTTGCGATGGCCACACTCCCATGACCAAACGAGCTGCCGTGCTGCGTTACACCCTAATAGTGGTCACATAGCTGTAGGGCAAGCCACCTCGACCTCTATCGTCGAGTTCATTTCCAGTCAACTTGACTCTGCCTCGCCACCGAGAGAGAGAGAAAGAGGGCCACACTGACCCCAGAGCGTCTAATCACGTTGGCCTGCCGCTTCGTTTCCGACTTCTAAACTCCCATAGAGGGCTATTTCGGTACTCCGACGGAGCTAGAGACGGTTTATTGTACGTGAGAAATCCGCGAATGTCACATTTTCATACCTTTTGGGTCACGCACACGTGGGCTTGGGCCTGGAGCTGGATCAGTTACTACACCCACGCTTTGGCACCCTCTTATCATTGGAGTGCAGTGGGTTCGTGGTATGCGAGTGAGGTGAATGCGTCGCATGTCTTCCCCATTAGACGCACAAGTTAGTACCGATGCCCGCTACAGTGTCAGCTCTCATCTATCGGGATCTGGATAGCCTCAGTCATCATCTCCAACTACGTCGGTAGTGCGCATTGTCCTCTTGTAAAACTGTCCAACTCCAGTCGAATCCCAAACAACCTGCCTCGCCATTTTAGGATACCCTTGAAGATATCACAGCGGAGGACTTTGACCACAAAAGATGGATCAACAAGGCGATGGAGTCTGTCAGCGCTGCGGAGAACCCCGAGGTGAGCCTTAAAGTAGACTTGTCAGTCTGTCCTAAAGGGGGGCCTTTCCATCAGTACAAGCCTTCAATTTGTTTGTTTTTTTCTGTTCAGGCTTCTCTCACAAGCCTCGTACTAAACCTCCAATCTGCTCTCGACGTAAGTATTATCATCCCATGCCATTTCCTTTACTAGGCCTTACAGTTTTTCGTCAACTGATTGGCTTGGTGACAGTCCAGTTTCAGGCCTACGAAGCTTACTTCGCATAACTGCCTAATTATTATATAGTGGTATGCATGTTTTAACATTTTGGCGTAGGCTGTTTCCCACCACAGTCCATCCTCATATAAGATTGACTCCCCACGGAAATGTTAGTTTTTTTTTCTTCATGTAGCGGGCGAATTTGGATGTTGAAAATACGTTTCAGGAGGTTGCGCAGTCTACACCAAGGTAATCTTGAGGGTTCTTCATCTAGCTTAGCGCACCTTTTCATTCCACCTCACCTCACCTGATTCTGATGTCTCTGTGCTCTCTAGGTTTATGCGGGAGATGGAGTCAGTTAAACGGAATGTCCTTCTCCTAAAGGACCATATGGCTGGTATTCAAACTGATTTCCGGAAGGTATGTCCTCTCCCA